AGCGGTTCAAACCCACCAGCCACTCCTCGGAAGGAAGGTTGGGCAATCTACTTTCATAGTGATACTGCCCACTATGAGTCGGTCGGACTCGATGGCACATAACAACAACAACAATATAGGAACACATTCCACTCATAATGGTTTGAGATTTAAAGTATTACACAGAATTGTTCTAGTTCAACCACAAATATAGCTTGAGGGCTTTTGAATACCTGGTCATTTATTCAACAAATCTTTATTGAGCTCCTATTCTATGTCAGGTACTAGAACCTAGGGGCACCATGGTGAAGAATAGGAGATTATTTCTAATGAAGCTTACCATTTATCTACCAAAGACAGTGTTTAAACAACTACTTTCTCTTTTTCAGCAGAAGCCAAATTAACTTAACTCTGAAATGTAGACTGACTCTTGGTGAGGTAACAGAACAGTGGGCTAGGTAGATGGTGAACACGTTATACGTTCTCATTAGTTCACTGAGATATTAATTTGCATGTAATGATACATTGGGGGAGGAATGTAATTTAACAGAAAATCTTTCTGTTCATAGTGTTTTTCTCTACTTTTTATTGTCCCCATAGCTGTTTTGGTGTTAGTCTGCTGGTATAGGGAAATTCACTGTGAAATCTGGAACGAGTAGGTATGTACCCTCTGCCCTCAAAGCTGCCACACAAGCCTGTGAACTTGGAAAAACAACACTTTCTAGTATGATAAACAAAGAAAGTGGAGATTTAAAGGTCTAGTTTCCTCTTCTTTGCATCAGCACATACCATTTGTCAGAAAGCTTGGAATAATCTACCCCTCCTGTTCCTGAAAGGCAGATAATCATTACAGCATTTCCCAAAGGAAGTGTATTTTAGTTTTCATTTTGAAAGGTACAAATGAAACAGCAATGCAGCAAATATTAGGAACCATTAAAACTATAGTATTTACATTTGTAATTTTTTTTTTAACCTAATTCCTTCTTTTCCAATGGTCCCTAAAACTGGCCAGCAGACTGACAGTCTGATAAACTCTAAAAGGAAAACAGAGGGCAAGGATGGGTGTGGTGTTACAGACAGGGTCACTGTGGAAAAGATGTAAAGTGCAGCTACTCAGCCTATGCAGATAATTAATTAATTCAAGGGCTGGAAGGAAGGCAGGAACAGATTGCAGAGACTGCACTTAACATGGCACCTTCCAATGAAGGTAACCCAACCCTTAGGTTCTTTTGTTTAGTCCTTACTTCCAAACAAAGCAAGTTGCAAGACCAGTTCTAACAACTCAGCAAGCAGCAGAAAGCTTGCTTTCTTTGTAAAAAGTTAATAGAAGGTTCTCTGTACACCCAGTTATTGCAAAAGGCCCAGCTTTCTCCCGAGTACCTTTGTTTCTATTAGAGAAGACTTGCAAAGGCTTTGATGGCAGCATGCAGAGTATGATACTTAGAATAAAATTGGATAGTCCATGTCCTATTATTCAGCCTTGGAGGAGTTACTTACCCTCTCTAGCGATTAAAGTGTACCTCCCTAGCCCCACCCCCCCAAAAAAAATGTGTTGGACTCCTAACCTCAAACTGTGGATGTGATCCTGTTTGGAAATATGGGGGTTTTTTTCCCAAATTTTTATTGTGATTCGGGTAAAAGTTTACATAGTAAATTCTTTTTCCATACAGCAGTTCATACACATTTTGTGTCATGACACTGACTCCAATTCCCCACAATGTAACAGCTCTCTTATTACTTCCCCCCTGTAGTTCACTCTTTCATGTCCTTCTTTCTATTCATTCTTGCCCCCCAAGCTGTCTCCCTGTGCAAACACTGCCCTTCTGTTCATCCATGATTGATCACTCTAAGGAATATATCTACCTGAAGTAAATATTCATCTATTATATACCTGTCTATTGTTTGGCTGGAAGCCACAGGAGTGAGTTCAGTTCCAGACCTCAAGGGTAACTAGGGGCTATAGTCTCGGGGGTCTCAC